TTCCAACTTATTTTTCTGCCGTCACCAACTGGTGCAAACAAACGCATGAACGGACAACAGACACACTCATTTTCACCCGAGTAAAGTGAGGAAATTCGTGTAAAGTGCCTTTCCAAGGGGCACAACATCGGTGGCATTGCAGGATTCGAGCTCGGGACCTCTTGGTTCCGAGCCGAACGCTCTGCCGTTACGCAACACGACCCCATGTTTATTGTCTTTGCAGCCACAGAAAGATCTGCTTGGAGATTAGAGGGTAGTAGAGTATAGATACAGCTGACTTACCCTTACTGGGATAGTTTAGGACGTCTGGCCAGCATGGAGCCATCCTCTTGGCCATGGAGTAGGACGGGCCTTTCTTACAGTTAGCGTCTGTGATGGTGTGGTCTGTAGGGCTGGGACGGGTCTCGGCTGGCAGGAAAAGGCGAGTAGAGGTAAATAAGTAGCCTCTACCAGGCTTCGGAAAGCGGCTGGAAAGAGTAGAAATCCGCCAAATAGAGAGATATCATGCCAGAGGAGTTGGTCTGCTGGAGAGAACAGTTTGCCGCTCCAAATTGTACTCTCTAGCGGCCCAACTCCCTCGGCATGTTATCTCTCTATTTGACCGATTTCTACTCTGTTCTGCCGCCTCTCGAAGCCTTGCAGAGGCTAGTAAATAAGCGTTATGCCATCCTCTGGGAACCACAAAACTGAGCGTGTGAATAAAAAGTTTGGCAAGAAAGAAAAGTTGCCTTCATTATGAAATCTACGTGGTCACGAAGGTTGAACAAATGACTAAACACACAGAGTATGATGTGGTGAATAATAGACACTTCATTTTCATCACATTTTCTTCTGTTTATGCTTTTGGAGTTGATTTTCGCATTGTACGAATATTTTTTTTGCGACTTACGGCATATACTTGCTCATTTTGCAGCTGCTTTGTACAATTTACAGTATGGTGGAAAGCTTTCTTTCTTTTCAAAACGGACGAAAATCCTGCGCGCGCGGATGTCATCCATATAATCAAATCAACATGGCGTTAGCTCTGTCCTTGGTGCTGAAATGGGCATCACTAACACCTCGTTTAAATGATTGCATGCATAATAGGTGATTATTTGCTGCATCTTTCTCAAACAAAATTAAGTTTGGCAATGTCTCTTGTTACAATTAGATACTGGGCATGGATCTGACAATAAAAACTCATTATAATTCTCTATCTAGCACATGAAAGCTCATCTGTGTTGGTGCAAGTCATTATGAAGAAAATACTAAACTGTATGGTGGAAAGCTTTCTTTCTTTTCAAAACGGACGAAAATCATGCGCGCGCGGATGTCATCCATATAATTAAATCAACTAGCTCTGTCCTTGGTGCTGAAATGGGCATCACTAACACCTCGTTTAAATGATTGCATGCATAATAGGTGATTATTTGCTGCATCTTTCTCAAACAAAATTAAGTTTAGCAATTGTTGACGTAATGCTGTCAGATATACAGCTAGCTATTCGTAGAAAAAAATGTACCTTTGGGCTCGAACCAGCGGTACGTGAGCTGTGCCGTCGGGGCCAGGTGCCACTGCTCCCGAGGGGCATAGGTGTTGGGACTCGGTGTGTAATACTCTGTAAAAAGGCGGGAAGAAACAGTAGGATTGCACCATTGCATTGTCTCTTGTTACAATTAAATCTTGGGCATGAATCTGCCAATAAAAACTCATTATAATTCTCTACCTATCATATGAAAGCTAATCTGTGTTGGTGAATGTCATCATGAAGAAAATACTAAAATGTATCTCCAACACTGGAATGAAATTGGGACTTGCCCCAAATTTTCGGCTGACTTTCGGCCGTCAACCTTGTTCACGGAATGGGCCCGTCTACGTTTGGAAAGTGACGTCAGAGACACGTGACCGGGTCATACGTGCCAGATAACTTGTGTCGCCCCCCGTCTCTGTTCCAAGAGCAGGGGGGTCCATTCCGTGAACAAGATTGACAGAGTCAGCCCAAAATTTGGGTAAGTCCCAAAAAGGGCCAACTCGAGCTCATTCTAATGTTGGAGACAAAGTTGTGTCTTTTCGACTCTATACTTTAAGCGAATTCCGTAGCGTGACGTAGCATTGGTGACTCACTCTTCTTGATGTCATGCCTGCTGCGTAGTGACGTAGACACCCCCGTGCCCACCGTGGTGCCCAGGTTGTAACTGTTGGGAGGAGGCGCCTCCTTCCCCGGTACAGGAGTCAGGTCAGGCAGCCGCTGGGCGAGAGAGTAACACGGCATGCACCGGGCGTCTCTCACGGTGTACTCTGCCGGACCTGCACGTTATAATTACCACAAGAATTGTTCAAGTCCCAACACTCTATGTGTTAAAAGGCCTCACTAGTGTACTTTTCTTCCAGCTCTTCTAGCTCTGATTGGCAGTTATGCTTTCGCCAATCAGATAAAGAAGATCACTATGTAATCCTTGTGTTCCTAGATCATATTAAACCTGGTTAGATTTAGCATAAGGATTATTGGTTAGCATTATTCAATGTCTCTCTTTGGATGGTGGCGCAATGTGGCGCAATGTTATGTCAATCCATTGTGTTCATATGTTAATTGTATTTTGTTGTGTGGCGCTGTAAAATAAGTTTAAAAACTTGAGTGCAGCGCCACACTGTCCTTATTATTGTATTGTTATATATATGCATGTATGTTGACGAATAAAAAACCTGTTTTGCGAGAGGAGTGAAGGAAGGCATCAGGGCATACCAACCTTCTAAACCTTGACGGGGGGCGGTACAGACTTCCGACTTTTGACCCCGTGCTGATTTCACACATGGGAAAAATTACAAGTCTACAGGACTCGGGTCAAAAAGCTGTTCGCAAAGTCCGCTTCCTCAATTTTCTTGAGTTGTGGAGAACAGTTTAACCTTCATTATATTACCACAAGAATGTTAGAATATGGTGGCTTTATTCGGTGGTTATAGCAACTGATAAGGCTTTATCACACCATATTCACCTCGGGGCGGGTCATTAACCCTTAATTATGTTACCACAAGAATGTTAGAATATGAATACAAGTTGTGAGCACGTGAGAATGATATATTGCGGTACATATTTTTGGAGATGTCAAATATACGTCAGAATAATTCAATGCTGGTAAAATTTTGCTTTAAGAAAAAAAATGAAATCATGACTAGAAAGGTAACATTTGCAAAACAAATGCATAATGTTTACCTTCACATATGCTCTGTTAGTTCTTACTCAAACACATTCATATATATATGATCAGACAGGAGTCTAAATCCTTCCTGCTATAAAATTGCAACATGATGTAACCCAACACTAGTTACCATGGTCACAGCCGCCTGCTTCAGGTCATTGATCTTTTTGGTTTGGAGAAGAAGAGGAAGCATAGCAAAAACAATATGTTTTTCTTCGGTAAACATAAAATTGAAGAATTAAGAGCGGCACCTACCTGGTCCGTCGGGGAACCTCTGTGCGATAGCCTGGCCCATGGAAGGTTTGGGTCCGCGGCCCCAGTACCGGGAGTTGGGACGGTAACTCAGACCCGGGGTCTTGAATCCTACAGAATTAATAGATAGAAGATATCATAAATAGAATCTTTAAAATTAGCCTGGTATCCAGCCTTGTTAGCTTTAGTCCGCTACCCAAGATCCGCTGTTGGCGGGGAGCGGATCTTGGGTAGCTGACTAAAGCTAACAAGGCTGGATACCAGGCTACTTTAAAATAGGTAAATACATAAAATGTATGGCATATATATTTTTCTCCTTTTGCAGCTGCTTTGTACGATTTACTGTACAGTTGAAAACGTTTTTTGGAAGCGAACGAAAATTCATGCGCGCGCGGATGTCATCCATATTATCAAATCAACATGGCGTTAGCTCTGTCCTTGGTGCTGATATGGGCATCACTAACACTACTGAAGTGTAATCTTCAGTACAGTATGATCGAAAACTACTTTTATGGGAATGAACGAAAATTCATGCACGCGCGGATGTCATCCATATAATCAAATCCACATGGCCCGGTGTGTATTGTGTGTATATATAGATGAGATGGTTCACCTTACCTAGCCTCTACCAGGCTACGGGAGCGGCTGGAAAGAATAGAAATTGGCCAAATAGAGAGAAACATGCCGACGGAGTTGGTTCGCTAGAGATCGAGAGTACATTCGCTAGAGCTGTTTAGTTGGCCAATAGACCGATCCCGAATGTCCATCACAATTAGAAGTTCACCCAATGAGAGAAGGGCAATTAGCGGTTCGACCAATGAGAGAGTGGCTGCATGTCCGTCAAATATTTGCATTTCTATGTTCTGACGGAGGTGGACGGGGCTTCAGGATCGGTCTATTTCTATTCTTCCCAGCCGCCTCCCGACGCCTGCTAGAGGCTACACCCTACCGTGAGTGTCTACAGGCTGAACACGCAGGTCGGGGTACCCGGGGTTGACACCGTGAGGCCGGCGGGACTGGATACCGAACTTCGGGCCCTTAGTGCCGGTCTCCCGACAGCGCACCACGTAAGTAGCCGGGCCTAGACTACAGGTGACATGTTTGTCGGCTGGAAAACAAAAAAATACGAAATAAGCAATAAACTAGAAAGGCAACATCTGCAAAGCAAATGTTTTCCTTCTGTGAAGGTAAACATAATAACGCACTCAAGGAAATAAAACAAGGAAAACGATCGTCCGATTTCGACGTCAAGAATGAACCTACTCATACAGCTGAACAACTTAAGCGAGTCACAAGAAATGGGAAAATGGGAAATAGGACGATTCTAAACACGCGATTTCGACGTTAACAACTGCTTTCTCTCAATGAATTTGTCAATACATAGATATCCTTTTCAATTGTATACAATATAAGCTTCCTAGTTTAAGATATTTGTTTGATAATACATATTCCTCATGCAACTCGATAAACCGTCCATTTGTTCTTACATCTACAGCTGTCTTCAGAATTCGAAGTGAAAGGAAGCTGAACTTGTACATATTTAGTATGCTATAGATGTAGTAACATACCAGACTTGTATCACTGTTTTTGTATGTACATAGAATTTTATCCCCATGACCTGTACATAGCTTCTCATGGCATAAAGTTACGGGGCAGGTTCGAAGTCAATCAAGAAGAAGATGATGAAGATATAGTGGTGACAACGCACGTTTGACGTCGTACGGGTACGTCCGTCCCTTCTCCTTCAGTGTGATGGTCCGGCGTTTCCACACCAGGTCCTGTTTCGTGTCGTAGTCGGCCGGACATGGGCCTAGGAGAAAATGATAAGGCCAAACTATGCAATCTGCTATTTTTGTAGTCTGGGTGCCAGCCTCCGTAGTTTTCGTCGCTGTCTACCACGGAGTTATCGACATTAGGGAGTCGGCGGAAACTACGGACTATGGCAGCTAGCCTCTACCAGGCTTGGGCGGGTGCAAAATGTTCTTTTTAGTGGACCAACTCGAGCTCCCTGGCATATCATCCCTCTCTATTTTCTCTAATTTCTACTCTTTCCAGTCGCCTCCTGAAGCCTGGTAGAGGCTAGATGGCACCCAGGCTATAGTTTCTGGAAACACCTCACAATTTTGTACTGTCAAACAAGCCGCTAGGGGGTCCAAACTAATGTCACTTGTTCCTGAGCAAAAGAGATATTTACCATCCAAACTTCCAAACACACACACACACACACACACACACACACACACACACACACACACACACACACACACACACACATATATATATATACACACACACACACACAAACGCTTTGAAAAACATAACCTTCCTGGCAAAGGTAAAAACTAAATGCAGAGAATGTGCATACTGTCTGCTTCTTCATGGTGTCTCTGTTTTCCGGAGACGGAGTACTGTGGCGCCTGTGGTTTGGTCAGGTCAACCTTTGGACTATAGTCAGCGGGACCGGGCTGGCAGTCTGACAGGGACCCCACAAAGAAGATAGAAAGAGAGTGATGGGATAAGTGATTGAATAAGAACGCAATAGCTCTTGCAAATATATTTAGGCCTAAAACTGATGCGAGCGCGCGTGTGAATGACAAAAAAATGTTACCTTCATTATGAAATCTACGAGGTAATGAAGGTTGAACAAATGACTACTTGAACACAGAGTATGGTATGGTGAATAATAGACTTCTGGGATTCTCTCGTATTTTCATAGTACAATCAACTGCAAAATGACAATTATACTAATTGCAATACTTACCCAGTTGTGTGTAGGGTAGCTGGCCGTCCGGTGGCACGTACGTACCCATAGGAGTCCGTCTGCCTCCTATACCCAACAGAAAGTCATGCATGTAATAACAGTATATGTACACAACCGTGCATTTCCTTTACAGGTGCCAAATGCAGTTTGGGCTTGAAAACCAGATTTTTCAATGACAACATTCTCCAAATTGGCCAAATATAGACTATATAAATATCTGTCTTAGACAAACTGTATAAAGGTATACTAAAAAGAAGAAGAGATATTCTCATGTCTACCAGTAATGATCACACAATAGGAAAACTATGTGAATTCATCTCCAGTTGCTTTAAAAAGATAGAAGATGTTAAAGACCTGGATTAGATAGAATTTATTCTCTAGTAATCCCCAAGACTATAGATTAGATAGAATGTACTAGTATTCTCTAGTAATTCCCAAGACTTTTAGGCTATTCTTTTATCCTACTACCCTATGTATCATGTTACTCAATATGATGTACATGTAACATCACACTCTGATATATGCATTTAGCCCCATGGGCATGAACACACAAATAAAGACTCAATGCTAGAAAGGTAACATTGCAAAGCAAATGCATAATGTTTACCTTCGCATTTGGTAACGGTCTGCTCTGTTAATTCTTACTCAAACACATTCATATATATGGTCAGACAGGAGTATAAATCCCTCCTGCTGTAGAGTTGCAACATGATGTAAACCAACACCAGTTACCATGCATATGGTTCAGGTCACTGGCCTTGTTTGTTTGGAGAAGAAGAAACAGGGCAAAAACAATATATTTTCCTTCGGTGAACATAATAATTAAGAAGCATCGTTACCATCTCTGTTGGCCTTCTTCCACTTCGGTTCCTGTGCGTCTTTGTCTCCATCGTCTAACGACGGTTCGTCCGGCTTACTGGTGCCGAAAAGAGCGGCCACGTTTCCCCACATCTTGTCTTTGACAACAACAGTACGTAGAACACAACACTGCAAACCTATACTAGCAACGTCACCACAACAGTAGAGACAACGTCACATGCAGGCTTTGTGTTGTACGTCTGTTCCTTTTGTTCTATAGAACGTATCCTTTTATTACACTGGCATCTCGCTATCTATCACCATTGATTGAGTTTGACTGATTCTTTTAGTGTGGTCGCCTAGTAGTCTCTACCAGACTAACTACGCTGGCTATATATAGGAGAATATTTGCCAGGCCACCTTGTAGGTTTGATTGGCCGCGGAGGGAAAGAAGAAACTACCTCCCCGCGGCCGGACTCCCTTGGCCAATTTTACTCTCTTTTTTTTGCCGAATTCTACGATCCATATTCCCGTAGAAAGGCCTAGTGGAGGCTAGTGGCCTAGTACGTAATGCATCTTTCATACCTACTGGTATTGCGTAAGTTGTATCGTGTGGCGTAACGACAGGGTGCTCGAGTCGGAACCAAGAGGTCCGGAGTTCGAATCCTACCATGTCGCCGATCTTTTGACCTTGGGAAAGGCGCTTGCCACGACTTTCCTCACTTAACTCAGGTGAAGATGAATATTGTCTATTGTCCTCTGCGTTGGCGGCGGCATAAAAATAAATTTAGGTGTGCCGTCACCATGTCTTATGTTGAATGTTGGAATAAAAAAAAGCTAAGCTTTATATTAATATTGTTGCTCCTTGGTTGCTTCAAGTAAGTTGTTCTTGGTTTACCCATAAACAGACACATGTACATGTACTAGTGAATTGTATATGCCGAAGTACATTGACCAACAACAACAACCAAATGTAATAAACCCTTTAGAATGTGTATATTGTGTGAATGGTAGCAAAAAGTGACCAAATCTATACCTCGGGTCAGGCCTATAGTACTACATGTAGTAGCCTCCGGGAGACGGCTGGAAAGAGTAGACCAAATAGACAGATAACATACGAGTGGAGTTGGTCCGTTAGAGAGTACATTGTGGGTCGCAAAATGTACCCTCTCTGACCGGCTAACTCCCCTGGTATACTATTCCTTTTGTTTTCGTGAATTTCTACTATTTTTCCAGGGATCCGCAGTGCCTGGTAGAGGCTAGGCATATATAAGGGTCATTGGCTTTTGCGGTATGTAACCGGGTTGTCCTCGAAGGATCTGCAACTGTTTTCCGTCAGCTTCCAGCGACATAGCTGGGATGGCCAAAATAATGGTAGTTATTCTTTTTTTTTTTGCTTTCCTTCTTTCAATGAGGTTCCCTTCATCATATTGCCTTGGTGTCTTTTTTCCACTTTTTTTGGTGTTTGAGACCTTTGAAAATTGGAGATACAACATGTCAGACACATATATTGTGTGCACCTGTCTTGGTTTCAAATTTGCGGGCTAAAAAGCTTCTTTATGCGACACAATACCTTTGCTGGTATTATATTGCAGTAACTAGAGGAAACCTATGACATTGGATACCGAGAAAACCGCAAATTGAATGAATGAATGACCTCATCCTTTCACATCCTGAGTTGCGTCACCTAACAACCACCTTCTAACCGCAAACCAGACAGTGTCGTCTGACATGGATTGCATCGTCCCCAAAAAGGCGCGAAAAAAAATCGTCCCAAAAAGGAGCGAAATTGTTCTGTCTTGAGGAAATCTCGCAAAATGGAGCTGCTACACCAATGAATAGACTTTTTAGATTTCTTTTGATAGCCTCACACGAGCCAATGGCAGCCAGTGGCTCTTACCTGTGTGACAGTCACGTGCTAAATTTCGGATCTTTCCATATATGGAAGTGAAGTGCAAGGCGGCACAACGCAAATGGTGCAGCATTCAAATATTCCATATCGACATAAATGAAAACCAGTAGATAATTTTGTTTACGAAAATACAATATATATTTATGAAGTTAGACAGGCTTGAATTTTTAGCATGAATATTGGAGCTTTATGGTTGTTTTAATGTTGGAAGGTGGGTTTTGCGTTTTGTGGCGGTGCAGCTGGAATGTTAGCCCCTCCCCTTTCCGGTCGGACAGTGACGTTACCCGTGCCTGAAATAGCAGCGGGCCGGGACAACACGAGCAGACGGGCAGAGACACTGGGCAGGGCCGGGCACGTCAGACAGGCCAGCCGCCGGGAGTGATTCACCGTGTTTTGGGGCCGACTGGGAAGCTTCCTTCAACACAGGATACCGTTAAAATCTGGCCTGACGTTATCAGAGAGGGCAGGAGAGAGGCTCGGGACACCATGTCGCAATTTCGAGCACGCTGATATCGATTTTTGAAACCACGAGAGAAATTTCGTAGCGCTGCTGCGTGTGTGTGTGTGTGACGGCGACTGTCAAGGTTTTTGCAGACTGTTATACAGTATTTTTCTGGGACAGCCATGGAGACCGTGATTTCTTCGGGAGGACAGCGGCACAACTTGAAGCAGAGGTTCTCGGTGTTGCAGAACCTCGGCCAGGGAACATACGGGAAGGTCAAACTGGCAGAGGAAAAGAAGAAGGGAAAGAAGGTGGGTGGTCGCCTGGCTTGGTTCTGTCTATGTCTCGTGAGAATACAAAGGACACAAATATTATTCCAACCTTTCCTGTGAAAAAAAGGTCACTGTTCTGTGAACTTCTGTCTGTACATAGCATTCTCTTCTTGTTCGTGGTCTTAATTTTTATATTTGAGAAAAATACTGACTGAAACGTTACCTAGGTTTATATGACATACGGAAACGCAACACGGGGTTTTGTCAGTGTATTTATTTGTCCTCCCCATGCCACAGTGAAAAGCTTACATTCCAGTACCCCTTGGGGACGTTTTGGCGTATTGACCACCAGATTGAAGCATGACCACACATTATATACGGGTACTAAATACTCCAGTAACGAACCTACAGTTTATGACACTTAATTGTGTACAAGTAGGTAAGAATTTGTGTATTCAGGTGTTGTAGGGAGGGCCACGAATAAACGAAACAACAAGGTGCGAAACACACCAACAAAAGGCAAATTTTGGTTTGATGCCAACCTTTCTCAGAAGTATGGGCACTTGATTCACTAAGTGTCTTTCCATTTTCTAGCGTAGGGTGTTTTCAACTGGTTTGAAATATTTTTAGAAATCAGTGGGCGACAGAGCACACAAAGTGTTATCAAGTGTTAAATCAAATGATTTTAGCTTGAGACTTGTTGAGTGCATTTTAAAAATTTAAACTAAATTTATTGTTGCCAAATGTTCAAATCATAGAAAATACAGTTCAAATCAGAAGAATATTTAGAGTATGTATTGTCCTCTTTATAAAAAGAAATTGAGGAATAGAAACTCGGGAGTAGAAAGTTTATGTAGTAAACATGGTTACACAGGTAGCAAATTTGGACAATGGCCCTTGTTTCGATGAGTCAACTCACCTGGTTTGGGTAAGCAGGATTTCAGAAGGGAACTTCCAGTTTCAGGTAACACTACTCTCCAAGAAGAGGTTTGTGTTTTGTTGGCTTATTTACGGTGTGTTTTTAGGCTTTTTTATCGGGCTTTATTTTTATTCCAGTGCAAAAAAAGAAATCCTAGTAAAAAGAGCCAAAAACGTCCTAAATGAACCAAAACGGTTAACCTCTGCTTGGATAGTATTTAACGTTGCCCTTCCCAACCTACGAATGTTCAACAAAGTCTGCCAAGGTTTTCTTCATTAACATTACCAGTTTTCTGAAATTACAGCTGAGTGAAAGTTGTTTTTATGCTCTCACTGGAACTATTAGTATTAAATATGCCTGTAGTTGTTCTACAAACATAGATGCCACGCATCCTGAATAGTTGGCAACAATTCTTTCGTACCTGTAAACAACTGGGATGATGAAAAAAATGCAAACAAAAAAACTACGTTTTAAATTATAAATCCTCTCTAAAAGTGTTTTGGAATGGTAAGATTTGGGATAATGAATGCCTAAACCCACCCTAGAATGCGTGCATGATAATGTTTTAAGCCTCTCCGGACCTACCAGATTGAAATCTTAATCCACGGATATTTTCCACAGTCACTTTTTCGAAAGACTACGTGACGTACGAGCGACAACTACCATGGCTACCGCCGACAATTCACAAATAGAATCCGCAGAAACATTCGCGACAATTTAATCTCTTTTAGTTGGTGTTGACAAAGAGTCTGTCGGCGAACAGTTTACTGTTGTTATTTGTTGTAAATCCTGTTGTGTGGTAGTTTGGACTTGGGATCAGGGGCCGTTTATTACATTATGCCCTGTTAGAGCAGGAGTGTGACCCGTTTTCTCAGACAGCATTCCGCACATTCCACATGTGTGAGGCTGTTTCAGTGTTTGCCTAACCTGTAGGTAGATGTACTGTATGTACTGTATATCACGATTTTTTTTGCGAAACTTTTCTATTCAAAACTTATCATTAGGCCACACAAATTTGATTTGTTGTTTCTCGGATTCGCCCTGTCCATTTTTTTCTGATTGCAAAAAAAAAAAATTTTGTTGTTCTAAATCAACTGCAAAATGCTCAATGAAAGACATATTTTAGCCCCAACGGTTGAAGAAAGTCCTTTTCCTCCTAGTTATTAAAGTTTTTTAATGTAACACTAACAGTGCAATTTTGTTTCATTAAAAGTTCAAAATCTATTGTTTTAATTATAAACCTGCCTGGTATGTTCACTTTATCAAAGTTTATGCAAATTAATATGGCTGATCAGGGCTCGAAATTAACATTGTCCTAGTGTCAAATGACACTAAATTTTCAGCTTGGGACAATTCAAATTACGTTTCGGGACAATTTTGGGGCAATTGGAAAATTCTAAGACCATCCACGTCATTTCGGAACGCGATCCATCCATCCTGCTGCAGACTGCTGGCAGCCTATAAATATATAATACTCTGACAAACATTTAAATTTGACCAATCAGGGATTCCAAATATCAGGGACGGTGCCATGCCCATGATATTATCATGTATTTCCCTACATTTACTAATAAAGTGGACTTCAAGTTGTACAAATTCAGTTGTTGTTTTCTTATTTTTGTCATCAACTTATTTCCTGAAAAGCAGGCTGGGACAGTCCATCTTCAGTTCGGGACAATTGAAATCTATGTTCGGGACAATTCTGGGACAATAGTGAAAAAAGTTAATTTCGAGGCCTGGCTGATATTGTAACAGTTCTGGCTATTTTGGGGTGCCTTGGTCTTTTTTTTTTATTTCACCCTGTCGCTCCATATTTTTTCTAAAAAAATCCGAGAAACAACAAATTAAATTGGTGTGGCCTAACCAGGAACAAATTTGCCGCACATGCTGCCACCGCGAATTTATCGTTCTGCGAACATGTCCGTTTTTATCAGACTGCAAACATTTGCTACCGCGAACATACAGTGATTTACGGTACCCAGACTCCACACACGTACTTACCACCAGTCTGCTACCTAGCGACAGGAAAGGCACTGTCACACAAATATTGTAAATGTCGCCTGCGACAAGTTTGCGCATGTTGTCTTCCGATATGGCCGAGTGGTCAGCGCAAACGATCAGGTGGTTTAACCCCTATATATGGCCATAGCGGAAAGCCACATGTATGTATGGCCCCCCCAGTCAACCATGCGTTTGTCATCCTCTTCTGAGAAGGCTGGAATTTGGGATGACGCATGTCACTCAAAAAGTGAGGATACCCGGCTGTCCAGCGAACAATGCCAGAGTTTGCTGAAGTATTTAGAAGATGTGTACACTTGCAAAACATCTCTTTTACACCTGCTTTTGTATACATGATGGGCAAATGTCTGTAGTATGTAGCCTCTACCAGGCTTGAGGGCGTGGCTGGAAAATAGTAGAAATCGGCCCAAAATAGTTGCAAAATAGAGAGATAACACGCCGAGGGAGTTTTAGCCATCCAGTTTACAGTTTGCCGGCCCACTGTAAACTG